AACATAAGCTCATATCGTTACAACCTCCTAACTTCATTGTCCTGAATTTAAAGCCAGTTTAAGCCTGCTAGAAAAGGCTATGATCTGTATAAATCAGTTTACCTTATCTGGGGATAGTGTTTGCTAAAGGAAGTGATGTTTGTGAGGAAACCAAAAAAGCTTCCCTTAGGTCAAAGATATGTTTGGTAAAACACAACACAAAACAGATGCATTTAATTCTGAAGTGATTTCCTTCTACCCCCCCATCCAATGCTCCCTCTAAGCTGTGGAGTCTTGTGAGCAAAAATTCTACTTTGTGAGCTACTGGCATTAAAAGTTGTGATTTGGCTACTGCATAAATCAGTTTGCTCTGGAGCCATCCTTCCTGAGCTAAGACTAAAAGTTGAGGACTCTTTCACTGCAATCCAAGTTCCTACGCAACGATGCTGGGCAGCTGAAAGTACTACTCATATTTCCTTTTTTTCAACTTTATGCTTGTTTGGGTTTTTTTGCATTTTGAGTTTATTCCCCCCAAGTTGATAGATGTCGCTTGTGTGATGTGTGATTTTGTGATAATTGTGATTTTGTGATAATTGTGGGACACACAAGTCTGTGGAAATGCCTGCTGCTTACATCGTTTTGATGTTCTGTGATAAAGGGAGCAATTCTAAGCAAGTTGAAACCCTTGACAAACTTTGAAATTCTATTGAAAACTCCCAGATCTTCTTATAAACATCATATTTCAATCCTTTACTCCATAATTATGGAACCTTCTAATACTCCTCTCTCATCTTACACTACTTATTGGCATGCATTATGCAATAAAATCTTCACCCATGCAAACTGGCTGTCCATTTGGCACGCCTCACTTGTTCAATCTAACAGAATAGTAATAAAAACGCAATTTCTTAAATTGTTATCTCAGTGGTACCTCACGCTACCAAAATTACAGATTCTAATCTGGGAGAACCGAGTTTGATTCCCCACTCCTCCACTTGCAGCTGCTGGGTGACCTTGGGCAAGCCATAGTTCTGTCGGAGTTGTTCTCTCAAGGACAGTTCTGGAAAGAGCTCTCTCAGACCCACTTACCTCACAGGGTGTCTGTTGTGGGGAGGGGAAGGGAAAGGAGTTTGTAAGCCGCTCTGAGACTCTGAGTGAAGGTCGGGGTATAAATCCTCTTCCTCTTCTTCATATACACCCATCGACATCCCCACTGTGCTGGAGGGGTTGTGGTGAAATTGGTTCATATAGGCATTGTAGGTGGGACTGTGCACATGTCGAGGCTTTTTGGCAACTGATAGTTAATCACATATATAACTTTACTGCTTTCCAACTATATGGTAGTTAGAAAGCAGTAATGGTATATTTTATTTATTTATTTATTTATCTTTGAATTTATATCCCGCCCTACCCTGAAGGGTCTGCATCAAGTGGTAGTTGGAAAGCAGTAATGTTATATATATTATTAGGTACATGGCAATTTAGTCCTTCATTCCCGCTTCATAAGGAACTGATTCTCCTTTTATGCGCAGCTGCCAGACTTTTAATTGCAAAATCCTGGAAAAATAATACTCACCGGAGTCACCTTACATTATCAGCCTGGCTGCATAAAGACTGTGATTTCTGTTTGGTGTAGTGGTTAAGTGTGCGGACTCTAATCTGGGAGAACTGGGTTTGATTCCCCACTCCTCCACTTGCACCTGCTGATGTGACCTTGGGTCAGTCACAAGCTCTGGCACAGCTGTCCTTGAAAAAGAGCAGTTTGTGTCAGAGTTCTCTCAGCCCCACCCACCTCACAGGGTGTCTGTTGTGGGGAGGGGAAGGGAAAGGAGTTTGTAAGCTGCTCTGAGTCTCCAAGTGAAGGGCGGGGTAGAAATCCAATCTCCTCCTCCTCCTCCTCCTCCTCCTCCTCCTCCTCCTGATGGACAAACTTACTGATTCTCTTCTTTCTAAGGCTACAGAATCATTTGATTTGAAATTTACCTCAATCTGGTTCCCCTTCCTGTACTATTTACCCACTAAACCTGAGTATTCTTCAATTTTGGATACTATAAATCTGCTGTATTGATGCATTTCATGGGATGTTTCATGTTAATGAAGTTCTTTGTCAAACTGGTTTTTTTTAATTAATATCGCGTTTACATTGCTTGTTTTGTAAGGTTTATCACATGTACCAGTTAAGCTATATTTCTAATGTTATATGTACTTGCATGTCTCTCATATATAAAGCTCATTTCGTGTGAGTCCTGGGACACGCTCCCACAGGCTTTGGCCAGGAGACCTGTCGATCACAAGGTCTCGCCATCCATCGGTGGCTGCATTAGCAGGGTCTCGCCATCCATTGGTGACTGTGTGCCCATGTGTTGCCAACATCCCACCCTCCCTCCGACAGACTGCCACCCAGCCTTTCTGCCTCAGTAAGCTGCAAGGCGACGGAGGCGGCACGTGCTCTGGCCGCAAAAAGGGCTTGCTTGCCCGGCGCCCTGCCTTCTCCCCTCCTTCTCCCCCGCCCTGGAGGCTCTTCTGGCCTCCGCGGCACGCTGCCTGCTGCCCTGATGCCGGCCTCTGCTGCTTCGCCTGGACCTGCGCTCCTCCACCCCTCCCTCACTCTGCCTCCGTCAGGGGCCGTGGGCCGGCTCTGTCGATGGTGCGGCCTCTAGGTGGCCTTCTGTCCCACCGTCGACTGGCTGCGACTCCCAGCAGGGACCGGCGTGCACCCCGCCCCACGCTCCTCCACACCTCCAGGTGGGTCAGGGGCCGCGAGCCGCCTCGCACTCGGCTGGGGCTCCAGGAGGGAGGAAGCACGCCTCCTCCACAACGCCACTCACCCAGGCCCTCTGCTAGAAGCTTGTTGCACTTCAGCCCGCAAAGGGCCTTCCTCCTAGAATTAAATAAAGATTAAAGGTTTTTTCAAAAGTCTACACAGAAGTCATTGTGGGTGTGGAGGGGGAGGTATTTGTGAATTTCATGCATTGTGCAGGGGGTTGGACTAGATGACCCTGGAGGTCCCTTCCAACTCTCCATTGTTCTCAGGACTGCAACCAAAGTCTCTGAATGAACTAGCTACATTTATTAGCACCATCTGATGTCTCCCTGCATTTGCTTCTCTGACTTCCTGCCTTTCCTAAGAAGGGAACCTGCTGCCATGAGTCAGAGAGCCTGAAGGACCTGAGACCATAAGCAACATGTAGGGTTGCCAACCTCCAGGTGGTGGCTGGCAATCTCCAGGAATTACAGTTGGTCTCCAGATGACCGAGATCAGTTCCCCTGGAGAAAATGGCTGCCTTAAAAGCTGGACTGTATGGCATCACACCCTGATGAGATCATTCTCCATTCTCTCCCGAAACTGCACCCTCCCCAAGCTCTGTCTCCCAAAATCTCCAGGAATTGACCAGGCTGGCCCTGCAACTCTAGATGTTTGGGTGTCTGTCACAGATGATTAGCTTTCTCTTGTTGTTGGCTGGAAGAACATATAAGCGCTGTGTCGTGAAAGACAGTACAATGAATGCTGCCTGTAAGCATATACTCAGCTTCACTGGGAACTGTGAGACACAATGGGAAAGATCTCTCTCACTAAGGAGAACATCACCAACATATTTAATGGTTTTGAGTGTAGGACACAGATTCCTTCATTCTTGTTGATCCTTACCCTCACCTTGGTAAAAACTGCACCATTGTGTATTCCTGCTTTCCCCTCAGTCGAGTTTATTTCTCTTCTTTGTGTTTGTGTTTATCATATTCTGCACGATTTCCACTTGTAAAGAAGTGCCTCTATTTTGAATTCAGCTTGTTTTGGAAAAGGAAGTATGACTCACACCCATGTGTTTTTCCTAAGCAAGCTGTTCCAGATGTCAAGTTAGGAACACTTTAAAACGGCTGGCTGCAGCTATGCAAAAACATGGCGACCATGCTTTTTGCTCCCTCGATCGCTCCTGCATCGAGGCAAAAACGGCCTCTCTCACACACTTGTCATGTGTGTGGGTGGCCGAAAACAAACCTCTTGCTATCTCCTCTTCCTCTGAGAGATCAGACGAAGCTCCCCCGGTCTGGAAAGGCCGGGAAGCTTCAAAAAGAACGAAAAGAGGATCTGGCGGCTTGGGAGCCTCCCAAAAAAACCGCCTGTCACTGCGCCACCAAGTTAGGAACCCTTTGACGTGATTTGTCACCAATGCCTTGTAATTCCCAGAACGACTTTGTTTCCCCCCCTCCACCCCATCAGCAAACCAGCCCTGTGGTAGTGGAATACAGATGCAAATTCCAGACAGTAGCTGTCCTAGTCTGTAGCAGCAAAATATCACAGGAGTCTAGTGACACCTCAAAGACTAAGCAGATTTATTCCAGCAAAAACGTCTGAGTCAGAGCTTGCTTCATCAGAGCTGGACTCTTTTTAACTCCATCACATCGGGGCTCTTTTAAGTTAATTGTTTTCAATGGTAGAGTTAAACACGTGTCTTATAGGTTTGCCGGGTCCCCTCTGGCCACCAGCAGGGGATGAGGGGGTAGGGTGGCCAGATCCAAGTGGGGAAACTCCTGGAGATTTGGGAATGGAGCCTGGGGAGGACAGGGTCCCCAGTGGGGTGCAATGCCATAGAGTCCATGTTAAGTCACTCACTTAACAAAGTAGTCGGAGAGTGATTCAGCAAAATATCAGCTTTAATCAACAACTCGAACACAACTCCACCACGGATCAACATCTGATAGCCAGAACAGCTTTTACATTGCAGCTGTCCTGCTTTTAAACTCTCCCGGCTAATGTAGCCACGCCTACTGTACATTTACCAACCAATAAGGTTGTATGCATAAGGACCAATCACGGACATTCCCGCTCAGGGAGCTTGTTTTTTTTTCTTTTTAAACCCCTGGAGGGGATTTTTTATTGATTTTTTTAAACACTACAAAAACTAGAACAGAAAAAAGGAAAAGGGAAAGCTACATATAAGGGAGAAAGTAAAGAACCTACTACTAACTAAAAACCCAAGAGAGGAGATCTCCAACTAGCTTTTTATACTTCATTCAGACTTTTCATCTTTGTACTTCTTATGAACTGTGTCAATCTTTTAACCCTTTTAACCATCCCCAGTTACATTTAATTGCCCAATAACAGTGCCCCCCATCATCCCCTAGAACCAAGTTCTCAAAGGCACAATTCAGAGTCCTTCAGCCTTTAGTTCTTCTTCTCTTTCTTCCGCAGTTTGTAGGAACTTTTTGGGGCTGATGCCCCCTGCTCAGACAAAGAGTTCTCACCAGACGAACCAGTTTCCAGCTCTCCACTGGACTTATCGTCCTCTTCTTTTTTCTCGTCCTCTGGCCTTCCCAGCTGCTCCTTTAGAAACTCTTGAGCTTTAAGAACAGAGTCAATCTTGACCTTCTTCTCCTTGATCTTGAATATTACTCCTTCTGGAAACAGCCATTTATATCCAATTGAGTTTGTTTGGAGGAAAAGCACAAGTTCTTTGTATTTCTTTCTGCGTTGTCTTACTTCAAATGGAGTATCCTTTAGCATTCTGACAGCATTCTCCCCCACCTTCAGGGGTGTCGCAGCAACTGCTTTCAGGATAGCATCCCTGACGGGCCTCTTCGAGAATCTTACTACAATTTCCCCAGGCAGATTATTTTTCTTTATGTATCCTGAATATGACCTGTAGGCCACATCCATGTTGTTGAGTAGCAAGTCCGCCTTTATATCTGCTACTGGGGCAAGTAGCTCACTCATAAGTTCTTTAAGATTCTCTCCTCTTTTCTCTGGCACCCCTTGGAAGCGCAGGACCATATTAGCCTTATCCATTTGCACTTGCAGCATCTGATCTTCCAAAGATACAGTTTTTTCCCCAATTTTTGCACTTTTTCCCTCACTATCTGCGTTGTCTCAGCCATTTCCTTTACTTTCTCATCATCCTGCTTCATTACTTGAATCAAATCCGTTATTTGCATTTGTTGAGCAGTAATGCTTGTTGTCACAACTTGCAGCTGCTTTTGTTGTGCAGTATTATTCGCTGTTACAACAGACATCTGTTCTTTAAAGACATTGAGCTGTTCCAGCAGAGGGTGCATGACCTCCGTCATCGGCTCCGTCGTCTCACTGGTCGTTTCCAGCACCTTTGGGGACTCTAGTTTCGCTTTTAAAAGTTTCTCTTTGTTTCTGTCCCTCTTCACCACCATCTTTTCCTCGTTTGTTTGCTTTCGCAAGAAATTTTAAAGTCTCTGAATATGCGCTTATCTGTATAGCTCGATGGGTGAGTACTTCTGGGTAATTTCGTGTTTATTCTTCCACTCCCTCCCCCTTTCGGTCAACGATTTATGGGCATGGGAGACGTTCCTCCCACCACTCGCTTCTGCCATTTCGCTGCTTCGGGTAGGGAGTGTCTTTTTGTTTAAAAATCAGTTCTCATTTGACTCACGTTCATAGTTGGTCTTCCGACCCCTCTTCATTCATCATTTCAAACGCCTGATCTCCTGTGCTTGACCTGGCTAGCTTCACTTGTACCATCAGGTCTCTCAGCTGGACGGACCACTGGAGCAAGGGGGAGCCTTGATTCTCTGGCATTCGGCCAGAGAAGAGGCTACCCCCTCAAAGCTCCTTGGCCAGGTGCCCTTCCCCGGGCTCCTGGGGGGGTTACGAGCCTGCTCACCCCCTCCGTCTGCCGGAGCATGGAGACACCCCCGGGAGGTCTGGGAGGTGATTCCGTGAGCGTGCCGCCATCAACTGGAAGTCGACATTCCCGCTCAGGGAGCTCGTTGATAGTGATTGGTTAGGTGCTTCCTGGGCTAGCAATGTGATTGGATGTATTTGGATCCTAGCCCAGGACGAAGCTTAACATAGCATTTCAATTAGATGTTTTCATCACGCATTATGCATTCAATGGCAGCTTATTGAATACATTACAGTCCACCCTCCAAAGCAACTATTTTCTCCAGGGGAACTGATCTCTGTAGTCTATGAATGAGCTGTAATTCTGGGGGATCCCCAGGTCCCACCAGGAGGCTGGCATCCCTAGTGTCTTAGCTTACCCCTACTGGAATCAATGCTGCTTAAAAATCTTTAACTGCATCCTCCTGTGGCTTGCTTCCCTAACCAGTACAAATCAGCAAAGATCTTTGGGAAGCTTGGTTCCACAGAATGTCACTCCAGTGACCCATCTCTACACATTCTTGACGCCTGCTGCTGTGTGCTTCCTTCTGCCAGCTATGCTGTTGCTTCTTTGCATGTAAGACTTTTGCAACAAAGGGCCTTTCCTCTTTATTTTGTAAGTAGTTAGTTGTTATAATAAAACTGTCAGCAAACACCAGTGTGAAAATAATAATAATATGGTAAGTCCTGTACTGATTCTCGATGATAATATGAAAACCATTTGGTCGTTTTCACAGGCAACACTAAAAAAATAAATCACCTCTTCTGCCACATGCAAATTTTTAACAATGTGGCTTAAAAGATGTTAGACCACCAAGGGAGACTGCAGAGGAAGGCAACGGCAAACCACCTCTGCTTCTCACTTCCCTTGAAAGTCCCTTGCTGGGGTTGCCATCATTCGGCTGCGACTTGATGGCACTTTACACACAGACACACACGTACACACAAAGATGTTCATTCTGCAGTTATTTTGGACCTATCAAAAATAACCATTTAAAAGTGAATGTGCTTCCTCCTCATTTTAAGTTTTTAAGGAGAAGAAGAGATTGGATTTATACGCTGCCCTTCACTGGCTGATGAACTAAATTCTTCATGAGCGGTTTACAATCTCCTTTCCCTTCCTCTCCCCACAATAGACACCCTGTGAGGTAGGCGGGGCTGAGAGAGCTCTTTCGAGAACTGCTCATGAGAGAACAGCTCTGAGAGAACTGTGACTGACCCAAGGTCACTCAGCTCAAGGTCACTCAGCTGGCTACCTGTGGAGGAGTAGGGAATCAAACCCGGTTCTCCCAGATTAAAGCCCGCCGTTCTTGACCACTACAACAAACTGGTAGTTGTCATGGTCCCCATATGAAAATGCAGGCAAGTGAAAGCAAAGATAGTCACCATCTCCATGATCATTTTGTGAGCTTTCTTAGATATCTGACAGCCTACTTTTGAAAAGGTAGACATTGGTCTGTAGTTTGGGAATGCCCGTAAGCCAAGGCCTAGGGTGGAGTCCTCCTGGAATTACAGCTGATCTCCAGACAAGAAAAATGAGTTCCTCTGGAGAAAATGGCAGCCCATGAGGGCAGGCTCTATGGTATACCATGGAGTCTAGGAGAAGCTGACATATATCTACCAAGGCCTCCAAGATTTAGCTCTTGTGGTCCACCAGTCACCTCACATTTGGACTATTATATTATGGTTTATGTAGGGCTGACCTTGAAGGTCAGAAGGGAGAAATCAAATTAATTTCTGGTGCTAGCTGCAGAGTACACATAAAACCAGTTATGAATTAGTTTCACTGGTTTCCACTAATTCTTCTGGACTGTTTTTTCATATCTATATCCTGTTTTTTCTCCTTGATGGAGTGGCTTATCACATGGTTCTTTCCTCCTCCACTTTATCTTCATAACAACAGCCCCAAGAAATGTTAGGCTGAGAGTGTGACCGATTTCACACAAGAGCTGCACCGCGATCGCGCCTCCCTTTGCCCCGCTTCTATTGGTCAATTTCCCACTCAAAGTCACACGGCCGCATTTTGACCCGCAGCTTCACCCAATTTTCCTCGCGGTTTCGTGATCCTATTTTTTGAGGATCACGAAACTGCGGGGAAAATCGGGCGAAGCCGTGGGTCAAAATGCGGCCATGCGGCTTCGAGTGGGAAATTGACCAATAGAAGCAGGGCAAAGGAAGGCGCGACCGCGACATAGCTCTTGTGTGGAATTGGTGACAGGCCCAAAGTCACTCGGCAAGCTTCCATGACAGAGTGGCGCTTCAAAGCCAGTTCTCACAAGTCCTAGTTTGACACTCTAACCCCTGTATAATGCTGGCTCAAAATCAAGGTGCTGATGATGACCTTTAAGTCCCTTGATGGCTTTGTTTAAATGGGGTCAATGATTGTATTGTTGTTTTGACCTGTTCTGTTCTGTTACATTACAAGAAGCTTGGGTTGCCAGCCTCCAGGTGGGGCCCAGAGATCTCCCGCTATTACAGTGGATCTCCAGACTACAAAGATCAGTTCCCCTGGAGAAAATGGCTGCTTTGGGGGCTGGGCAGTATATCTCCCTCCCCTCCCCAAACTCTGCCCTCCACAGGGCTCCACCCCCAAAATCTCCAGATATTTCCTAACTCAGAGCTGGCAACCCTACGAAGAAGCTTTGAGAACATATTTTGCTGAAAAGCAGGTCAGGCAGCATTTCCTAATCAAACAAATAAATGCTGATCTGATCCGTGTTCTGTTTCTTACAGCGTTTCTTTTTTAATGCACAAAGATTTTAGAAATCAGACGCCAGGAAAAAAAGCTTTAATTTTTATTTATTTAAGACTTATCATTGATGTCTGGAAGTCTGAGTCTCCTTATAACAAAGGTTTCAAGAGGGAAGTTTCCACAAGTTTAACTGCAAGCCTCTTGGTTCTGTTTTTTGGAGGGTTGGTTTTTTTGTTTGTTTTTTAGTATTGAGTGATTGCTATTGCAGTTCTAAGCAGAGTTATAAGTCAATGGACCTAGAAGGGTCTAACTCTGTGTAGAATTGCACTCTGCATTGTTTTGTCTTCCTAGAAAAAAATAATAATGCCACTGCTGAATATAGATGCAATTGTTTGTGGCTTGTTTAGGACCCTCCATAGACAAATGGAAAACTCTGAAATCATAGAACTATTACTTCAGTTGGGCAGGTGTCAAAGTTACATTCTCTATAGAATCTTTTCACAGCTGGATAAACGAGTGAGTGTTGGTTTTAGGGCACGGGTCCTGAAATGTAAGTTTCTGAATTCCCTAATGGCAGGTAGTTGATGTAGTGAAGATCTTAATTTATGCCATGTTTATTCTGTCTCCTTGGTATTGTCTTGAAAGGTCCCTGGCAAAAGAAAGAGCAAAAGTTAGAAACAGGTACTGGGTTCAGGATCCAGTGACGTGGATTTTGATATGCTTTCTTAGTGAGCACGAGTAAACCATTAGTAATGAAAGCTCCTGATCGTCTCCCTCTACAGCACTGTGATGTTTTGTCCTGTGTGAGTGAACATATGTGCACAATTGCAGTTCAAAGGCTCAGTTATTTCAGTGGCACCATTTAGTTTCCCCATTGAAATAATTAAAACAGGTGTCCCAATTCTATGCATTTTTGTTCTGAAATAAGAACCACTATGCTGAATTGGGCATTGTGTACATAGATCTTGAGTCTTAAAGATGCTTAATTTTGACTAGATCATCTTCCATCTAATGTTTTAAAACAGTTTTTAGTCTGCAGTTCTGTACACTTTCATTAGTAAGTTAGCTGTGGATATAACAATGGAACATGGGGATGGTGGAAAGTGCTGTAAAGTCACAGCTAACTTATGGTGACTCTGTAGAGTTTTAAAGGCAAGAGATGGTCAGAGGTGTTCTGCCATTGCCTGCCTCTGCATAGCAACCCCGGGCTTCCTTAGTGGTCTCTCTCCAAATACTAACAAAAGCTGACCCTGCTTAGCATCTGGCTAGTCTGGGCCATGTAAAACAGAACAAAGATGTAACTTATTCCTAAATAAACATAGAGAATAAGACTTTTAGGCCAGATTTTTGAAAATACTTATTTAGAAACAAATCTCAAAATTGCTCACAAAAAGGACCAGTTAAGTTCATAATTTTAGGCACTCAACTAGAAAGTGTGGCAACTTACTTCAAAGTGACTGGTGCTAAGGTACCTTATTGACAGTTGCTTCCCTTTTTAATCTCACATAAACTCAGGGGTCATTTCCTGCAGGAGCGCACAGGAGCGGAGCTCCGGCAGTAAAGAGCCCAGGGGGTGGGCACATGCAACAAGCCCCGCCCCCTGCTCCCAGCAGCCCTCAGTCAGAGCAAGAAGCAGCCAGGTAAGCTGCAGAGCTCCCCCCGGTCCAAAACAGTCCAGTGGCACCTTTAAAATTTATTTTTATACTTTTTTACAATGCACATAACACGATAAACACCTTTAAGACCAAGGTTTATTCAGGCACAAGCTCTCCCTCCTCTGCGAGGGCAGATCTGCACGTCTCCCCCCCATAGCTAACAATCCAAAACAGTCCAGTGGAGCCTGAGCGGTGGGTGTTGCCTTCTGACACACTTCCGGTGATGTCAGGGGGTGTGGCATATGCAAATGAGATATGCTAATGAGTTATGCTAATGAGCTTCTGCACCTCTTTTTCTACGAAATGACCCCTGCATAAACTTATATTGCTGCTTATATTCAACGCAAAGAGCAACCATTACAGAACAATTTGGGCAGATCCCATGTTGGCCTAAAGAAAACAGCAATCCAGAGCCTAGAAGCCATGCTAAGGTAAGACAGAATTTTTTATTTTCCTCCCAGTCCCCTTTGGCTGCATTCAAATGTCACAACCAGACCTAGAGTTTGCTTGGGATTAGAACAAACCTTGTTCATTCCCAGGTTTATGATTTCTTCCCACCTAACACCACCCTGCTTTATTTCTCCCTTTGCACATGGAACCATGACTGGAAAAAACGTCCTGGTCTTCTGACTCCCATATCATGTGCCAATTAAATTCAGGTGCCTTAATAAGTACGGGTTGTTTCTTTCTGCAGAAGTCCACCAACTTCCCTCTGCAAGCCATCTACAAGCCTCTCTCCCTCCCTCAGTCAAGGGGTGGTTAGAGCAGCATTTGCTCTAAACCAGGATTAAACTCTAGATGGGAGACTTCCCAAACTAGGGAGTCATTTCAAATGCACCTAGTTTAGGTTTGCCAGATCCCCCCGCCCGGCTGCTGGCGGGGGTGGGGAGTAGGGTTTTCAGTTCCAGGTTGAGGAACTCCTGGAAATTTGTGTATGGAGTCCGGGGAGGACAAGGACCTCTGGGGGGGTACAATGTCACAGACTCGACCCTCCAAAGCAGCCATGTTTTCCAGGAGAACTGATCTGTGTAGTCTAGAGATGAACTGTAATTCCGGGGAATCCCCAGGTCCCACCTGGAGTCTGGCATCTCTAATGTACTCCAGATATGAAAGACAAGCTGAATATGGTTAGCTGAAATTTATGCACCTCTCAGTGACTTTTGCTTCAAGCAACCAGTTCAAGAATTCTTGGGTAGCAATCTCGTCCAGGATTTCATGGAGCTCACTGTTGTAAGTGCCTTCTGAATATCTTCTGGCAATGTTTACAGCTTTCGCAGTTCCTTCTGACAAACTTTAAAAAGGAAAAATGGACAAAATAACTTCCTTGTGGCTCAAAACAAATACATCTCCTATAATTCAGTTCCACATCTCCACAGCAAAAAACAAACAAAAAAACCCCATACAGAACTGAGTTGACTGTCCACAGCCTCTTCAGAAAAATTACATCTGGGAAGCTATTTCAAGTCTCTGAAACCATTTCTAAAAATGCAGACAGGGAAACATCTTGTGCCCAACGGAGCCAAAAACCTTAGTCTCGTTTCAGTGGCAGAGACTGAAACACATTCATCTCTCTCCCATTTAAACTTGGCTGGATGATGCCTGACAGGGCTATTTTTGG